CTGCCTCCCGGTTCTGCCGCGCGGGCCCTGCATGTGGAACTGCCGTCTCAGCAGGTAACCCCGCGCGCTCGCGGCACTCGGGAGGGGCTGGGAGGAGATCTGAGAGGGGACCCCGTGGGCGGCGGCCTGACCCTGTGCCACCCTGGAGACCCTGAGAAGTGGCCGGGGAGAACTCGGAGAGCCGAGGAGGGCTGTCCGGAGGTCGTGGGAGCGGAAGGATCCAGTGATAGTTGAACCTTTGGAGGATCCCTGAGTCCCGGGAGACCTCCCGTTACAGGAGATGGGCTGCGAAGAGACGAGAAGGACCCAGTGAAACTCCCTGGCTAGGTTGGGCTGGGGGCGGCCAGAGTCCGCTTCTCCCCCCATAGGGAGCTGGAGAGCCCCTGGCGCAGACCCTTACCTTATCCCTCCTGGGAAGGGACCGGGGGAACCCTAGTGTCACAGGAGAGAGGCAGAAAGCACTTTTCGTTTCTCAACCCACTTACTTGCGGACAAACCAGTTGGTACTCATTGCTACGCGAGTCTTCAGGATTTCTAACATTTACTTTTAATCTCTTCTTATGAAGTACTACTTTAAACTTATCAAGAAAATCCTTTGATAGTTTGGGTTTTCTTTCTAATTCTCCGACTCCCAGGAAGCACCTTTTAACAATTTAGGGGGCTGTTTGCTACTGCATTCCGTCAAATGAGTATTTGTGGAAGGAGGATTTGATGAATATATTCACGTCTTCTTCCCCCATACTTTAGCAAGGTTTAGAGAGGGCTTCTTGGATCCACACTTAGATCCACAGTATAGGCAGATAATAGAGAACACCGAATTTGGGGATCTGACAAAATTCTTTGTATCACCTCTTATTTGTAGAGTACTTCTTCCCATCTCTCTCTTGCCTTTTTATTCCCCAAGGGGAGACTTTGCAGGAACATTAACATTAAAGAAACTTAAGGAAAGTACGTTTCATCTTTCCTCCACCCCACGCCCCAAAAGTGGACCTAAGAAAAACTCAGTTATTGAGCTTTTACCATGTTGGATTTGTGCCAGGTGCTCAACTGGCTGATAGTTGATTTAATCCTCGTAACTCTAGGAGATAGCTTTGCTTTTTTTTTTTTTTATTTAATGGAGGACTGGGAATCGAACCCTGGATCTCCTGCATGCTAAGCACTCGCTCTACTGAGCTATATGCTACTCCCAGAGATAGCTATTTTTATTAGCCCCATTTTGTAGTTTAGGAGACTGAGGTGTAAATATGTAAAATTGCTTGGCCGAAGCCTTGCAGTTAGTAAGTGATGGGGCTGGATTTCAGAATCCAGAGTCTGACTGTAGCTCTAGCACATGGTTGTTGTGCTGCAGACTTGAGTAACCTTTTCTCCACTGTCTTCACACAGGACAGAGCACCTTTCTTCATACCCTTCCTCCAACTGCCCATCCCTGTTTTAGTACTTAGGAAAGCAGAGGTTGAGGGCAGAGGTTGGGGGCAGCAAGTGATGGGAAATGGGATAGATTTGAATACAAGAAAAGTGCAAGAGTGTGGGGGGCAGTGCTAAAGGGAAGAGGAGAGCTGGAGATCATAGCTACAGTGATGGCCGTTGAGCTGAGCCCTTTGCAGAAGCAAGGGCTTTCTGTGTGGTCGAAGAGGATTTAAAAGACTGGGATAGCATGTGCCCTGGTCTTGTGGCGCTGTTGGGAAGGGAGTTTGTGGAGAATATTAGGAGTTTGAGGGTAGTGAAATTTGGATTGTATTTACGAGGTGCTGGGGAAGAGTGAAAGTCTGGTGGGGGAGACTAGCCTCTGAAATGAGCATTAGTGTGAACTTTCGTGTGTGAGGAGAGGTGGATTGTGAGAGTGATTACTGGGAGAGGCAATGATGGGCACTGTTACAGGCATCCTGGAGAAATCCTGAGGAGTCCAGAGCCAAGAGGGGTTTAGTTTGAGAGAGCTTTGGGAAAGTGTGGGATTAGGAAAGAGAAAGCATCATTTGTTTCACAGAGCCTGTTCTCTGATAACAGTTCACAGTTAGCATTGGGGAAAATAATCCAAACAAACTGTCCATGGAATAAATCCAACTGCATTTGTAAGCGTTTGTCCAATTTTTGGATTTGTGCCAATGGATGTATAGTGGCTTAAGTGTATGGCTGAATGCTCTGTAATCTCTGAGTATGGTTTTTACAGCTTTCTGGGGGTGTCATCCTTCTTGAATTCTTGGAAGGCAGCCTATATAACAAAAGCACTTTTACTTTTGCTCTTGACATTAATTTTGCTTTCAGGGTTAAAATACTGAAGTTTTTAGGATATAAATATATAACATTTAAAAAAGTAAATATTTTTGTTAAAGTGTTATCTGTATACAGTAAAGTGTACCAAGTATTAGTACATATCTTGATGAATTGTGACAAAGCAAAGCTATATAAGTACTACCCAGATTAAGAAATACAAAATTATTAGCATCTCAGAAGACCTCCTTATGCTCATTCCCATCTCTGTCTTTCCTTTTTCTCCAAAGGAACCAATATTCTGATACCTAATGTAGGAGGAAAGCTTATGCATGTTCTTAAACTGTATATAAATGAATCATTCAAAATGTGTTCTTCTTTTGCTCAGTATTGTTTGTGAGAGTCATAGAGTATGTGTGTGGGTGTGTATGTGTGTGTGTTAGTGAAACTTTTTTCTTTTAGCTTTAATTTGTTGTCTTTTTTGCCTGTGGTTTTTGTACAATTTCAAAGGGTTAGATAAATTGGAAATCCAGTTAACTTTCTTTTAAATAATATTTTGAAAATCGTATTATTTTAATAGATTCCGTGTGCTTTGATAAGGTGTCAATATTTCTAAACAGATAAACAAACCCTATTGATTTAGGATTTCTACCATAAAGTTGATTTTTTCAAAGCATAGATTCAGTGGCTTCTCCTCTCCGCCCCGCCCCCCTCAACTCCTGGCCAATTTCTAAGGCAGAGGTTTTCACTGTTGACATTTTGGGTGGGTAGGTTGGTCTAAAAGATGCTTAGCTGCCTCTGTGGCCTCTATTCACAATATACCAGCAGCACCATCTGTCCTGCCAATCAAAAATGTCTTTAGATGTTGTCAAATGCCCCTTAGGGGACAAAATTACTTCTGGTTGAGAACCACTATTCTAAGATATCCTAAGGTATATTTTTGTTTTAAGATAGAGAGTATCCTGGCTATTATCTACTCCTTTATTTCAGTGTTCATTAAGTCCCATTGATTCTAGTGGCTGTATTGTTTAAAATATTAATTTACTGTGTATTAGTTCCTAAAGTATTGTACTCCCCCCACCCCTAATCTGCCTCCAGAGATTTGTTTTGTTTTTGCCCAAAGAAAACCCACAAAATTATGTTTAAGACCTAACTTATTTTTCTTATTTTAGTCAACGTAAAGAAAACATTTAGTTAAGGCTGCCTAACTTCTGAACCTTCACACACGTGTGAGTACCATCTCCAGTCCTTAATAGCTGCTTGTGCCATCGGGACTACTACTTAATCTTTGTCTCCTTTTGCTTCTGTAGCATCTTACCTAAACTGTAATTTAAGCATGAACCAGTCACACAGTTTGAAGACTGTTTTTGCTCTTTAATTTTTGGCTGAGGTTTGTAATTAGCTACTGAATATAAGTTCATCTGAAGAGTAACTTCCTTCACAGTTTTAGGTTTAGAATCTTGAAATAAAAATCTGTGTTTTGTGGTATAGGCATTTAATATGTTTTTAAAAGCTTGATTGAGAACATTTTTTTCCTCCCCAAAGGCTTCCTCCCTTGAATATAACCTAACTACATTTCTCAGCTACTCAGAGCTGGGGAGGCTTTTTTTAGTGATTGTTTAGTGACCCTTTTTGGGTCACTATATACATAAATGCTTAGTTTTGCATACAGTTTTGGGTCCCTTGAAGTATAAATGGAAAACCCCAGATGAAGTAGTCTTAATTTGGTTTAATCCCTTCTTTTTTTAAAAAAAAATTGCAATTCATTATTTTTCTTAGACAGTTATCCATGGAATATATATGTATATATCTACCACATTTTTGTATAATAATGTTCATTTATGTTTGTTTAACTCCCATTGGTAGACTTTTCAGCTATTTCCAGTCTTTCTCTGTTACTGGGTTGCAATGAATATTCATATACAGGTACCTTTGAAATCATTTACTTAGAGGAGATATATATATATATGTATGTATATATACACATAGGCATGTACATTTCTATGAATTTAAAAAAATTTAAATTTGCATTTCTTTAATTATTAGTTATATTTTAATAGCTTCATTTATTGTATGTCAAACACTATGCCAAGTATATGAACTCATTTATATTTACATAACCCAGTGGGTTTCAGCATCTTTGCATGGATTTATGTAGCATTTTAATTTCTTTTGTGAATTGCTTGTTAATGTCTTTGGCATTAATTTTTCTGATTACTTACGTTTTTTGTTGATTTAAAGCACACTTTTCGTGTCCTTTTTTTGAGAAGGAGGTGGTGTATCTTAGGGTTATTAGCCCTTATCTCTCTTGAGTTTTTAAAAATAGTCTTTAACTTTTAGAACAGTTCTAGATTTACAGAGGAATTGAGAAGATAGTATAGAAAGTTCCCATATACCCTGTACCCATTTTCCCCTATTCTTAGCATCTGCCATTAGTATGGCACATTTGTTACAATTAGTGAACGAATATTGATAGATTATCATTAACTAAAGTCTATAGTTTATTCAGATTTCCTTCATTTAAAAAAATGGTAAAATATACATAATATAAAATTTGCCATTTTAATCATTTTTTAAGTATATATTTCAGTGGCATTAAGTACATCCTCAATGTTGGGCAACCAGCACCACTCTCTATTTCCGGAATTTTTCATCCTTCCAAACAGAAACTGTTCTCACTGAACAACTCTCCATTCTTCCGTTCCCCCAAGTCCCTGGTAAATTGTTTTCTGCTTTCTGTCTCTATGAATTTGCTTATTCTAGGCCCTTCATATAAGTGGAATCATACCATATTTGCCATTTTATGTCTGGCTTGTTTCATTCAACGTAATGTTTTCAGCATTCAT